GGATGATCCGGGGTCTATACCGGAGTCCCCTGGAGGCTGAAGTGTCTTCTCCATAAGGAGGAGTTTTGACTTCAGCTCCCAGTTCTTGCAAGACCTTGGCTTTAGCTGGTTGCAGAGAGAGCACTTCTGCACTGGACACAGAGAGAGTGTCTGTCCATTACAGGAATTGACTCTTTGCAGGAGAGGCACCTCTTGAAGCCCAGCTGGGCATGCCCTTCGGAGGGAGGGCTATCACTCTCTAGCAGTTAGGAATGCAGAAGAAAGTTATTTCTCACTCTTTTTTAAACTGAAAGAACTTAGAGAGTCTTCTAAACGCCCCTGGCAGGAAGGGAGGGAATCCCCCTAGACAGGGCGGGAAATATAAATTAAAGTTCTTTTCTTTCTTTTTATCTCAATGGATAAACTGAAAACTCAATGATGAATAGTTTTTTCTCCCAAAGAGGTCTAGATGTTTAGTATCCTTGTAAAATGATGCTGACCTTTTCTGTTGCTTACTCTTCTTACTTACTGATGGAGAGTGTTTGGGACAGGATCTGAGAAGAGATAATCTGCCCCTTTAGCTGGTACATATTTTTTCCGCTCTTCAAGATGTAGGGGCAACAGTGGCCAGAATCTGTGACACAGTCTTTGCTAGTTCTCAGACTGCCTCACTGATAAAGAGGGCAACCTCATTCGGAATCAAGCTACAATGGATGTCCAATAATCTCTGAGGAGCCTCCTGCACTTCTAGTGGTATCTAGAGGTGCTTCAGCAGTCCTTTTTGACAGTTTTCAGGAACTGAAACCGAAGCTCAAACCACTGCCTTGTTGGGTGAAGATGACAGGACCAGTGGAGCTGAGATGTCCCCTTGTTCCAGCTGACTTCCTGACTAGGAAGCTGAGAAGGCTCCTCCTTGGGTTACAATGGCCTTCTTTCGCCTTGTGTCATGCTCACTACGTGGCCCCAGAGAGGGATGTCTTGTATACAGGTCCCAGGGACTTCAATAGGGACACTGAGGTGTTTCAGAGGGGAAGGGAGAAGGAGCCCCGGTGGGAGCATACCGTATCATATGAGACTGACAGTCACTAATGAGGGAGTGCTGAAACCAATGTTCCCTCTAATTTTTTCCATCCATGTGTGGAATAAATTCTGTTATAAGCACCGAGGTAATGTGCGGATATGCACCTCCAGTAGAAATAAAAAACCTAGATATAATGTTATCTTTTAAAAGTTACCATAGGAATAATTACTCCAGACAGGACAGGTTAGGCGTTTTAGAACTCACTACTCAAAGAATTAAATTTATGTGTAAGAGAGAAATAAAAATTATGAAATGCATAGACCAGTCAAAAAACTAAAATAACACTTTGAAAGAATAAAATTACACAATATATGTGCACTGCAAGAAGTAACAATAATACAAGTGTGTTAGGAGGTGAGTGTGTGCTTGTGAGTGAGACACAGACACAGTGTGTGAACTGGATGCTGGGGAAGTTTCTGAGAGACACCATGTGCTGTCTCTTTAAGGCAATCACGGAAAGCTCTCCTGCTCCTGAGCCCTGTCCCACATTCCCCTGCTCTGCAAAGATGGGGTACATGGGCGGGGTGTGTGTGGAGAGACAGAGTGTGTGTGTGTGCTCACTGATAGGGAAGTCTCTGAGACACTGAGCGCTGTCCCTTTAAGGCACTCACTCACAACCCGGAAGGCTTGTTCAGACCTCAGCGGCTCTCCTACTCCTGAGCCCTGTCTCCTCTCCCCTATTCTGTGGAAATAGGGTACAGGAATGGGGGGGTGGGTGTCAAGCTATGGACACTAGTGCTCTGTCTCAGACCCAGGGTAGCAAGAAGGAACTGTAGTGGCAGTTGGTCCTAGATAGCCCTTTTTAGCCTTGGTATGGTCCTACTGGGATCCAGGAAGTGATCCTGCGAGCGAAGCCTGCCCACTGCTAAAGGATCCCCCCCAGGCTAAGGGGGGGTCCACAGGACCTGGAGACCAAAAAATTACGGGGGACAACTAATAAAAGAAGAGGGACAGGAGTGAGGTCAAAGGGTCAAATGAAGCGAACCAGACGGGGACACCGAGCAGAGAACGCCGGACAGCGCCCACTGCTCCTCGAAGGCGTCAAGGGAGCCAGTGGACGCCGCCCAGAGGAACTCTGCCCGGATACATGAACGAATAGAGGACCTGAAATAGGCCCCACAGTCACAGGAGACTCCATAGGCCAACCTCCTCACTCTGGTTTTATAGATGGCCAGTTTCGCTAGGGCCAGGAGAGGTTGAGCAGGAGGTCCCGTGACTTTGTGGGGCGACGGATAGGCAGTGCATAAAAAAAGGTGAGGAGAAAAGTGCAACCAAAATCTTAACAAAATATCCGTGAGGAGCCGGAATAGGGGCTGCAGCCTGGCACACTCCAGATAAACATGAGCCAGGGTCTCCCTCACGCCGCAGAAGGGACAGGTGTCTGGGATAGGGGCAAACCGCGCCAAGTACACACCCGTGCTCACAGCTCTGTGAAGGAGCCGCCAACCGATGTCCCCGGTGGGTTTCGGGATCAGAGTAGAATAAAGGCTGGCCCACCGGGGCTCCTCACCCTCCAGAGGTGGCAGAAGGTCCCGCCACATCGTATCGGGGCGGGACGCGAGGGTGAGGACATGAAGAACATGGAGCATGAGCGTGTATAGATGTTTCCTTGGCGCGGCCCGGAACAGAACTGGCTGCAGATCGTGCAGCCGGCTCATGGCGAAGGGACGGGGGGGAGGGGGTGGTTGGGTCCACAGGGCAGGGGCCTGATGAAAAAGTCTGGAGAGCTTGGAGTGGAGGGTGGGCGGGGCGTGCCCTCTCGCAGGACCTGATCGAGATAGTCCCGAGCAGCGGGCAGCAAAGCAGCCCTCACCTCCTGAAGGATGTGCCGCGGAGTACGAGGTCTGGAGAGCCCCATGCGCTGAGCGAGCGTCAGGGGATCCAGCCAGTCTCCCCGGTCTTAGTCCAGGAAGTCTCCAACTTTGGTGACTTCTGCCAGGACCAACCTCTAGCGCACCATGGGGGACTCCGCCACCTGCACATGGAGCTGGTATGGTGGTATAACTTTGGTATGGTGATAGGTAGGACCCATGCACAGACCAATGCTAGCAAAAACTTCCATTCACAGGCATATGAAGCACATGCACAACCTAAAGCAGAATGCAAACAGGGACAAGCACTCAAAGAAGGAATAAGCTACCTCCGTCCATGAAGCAGATCTCTCAGATGTCCAGGAGGGAGATCATGAACCAGTAACGGTGCTGAGGTCTGTGCCAGGGTATGTAACTTCTTGGTAGAAAAAAGTAGCAGAATGTCATCTTCGTCAGTTATCATTAGGTGTCTTAGTACCTTGAGCTGGATGGGTACCACAAATAAAGGCTCAGGCAGCAAGGCAGGAGGAAGTACAGTCAGTAACAGACAGTAATAACTGCTCGCACCCTGCACCAGTGCCATGGGTAGATTCTTCTGGGTGTGGTCCTTTGTTACTGGGATTTTCAGAGTCAGAAACAGTACATTTGTGCACACAGAGCTCTGATGCTGAGATCTTTGGAACTGACACTTTCAGTGCTGAGTGCTTCAGTCCACGATTACTAGTACCAGACTCGTCAGTGGCATCTGGAGACTGAGCAGAAATGTTGTGATGACTGCTTGATGTCAAGGCATCAATGGGACCCATTACGGCTTGCTCAGTGCCAGAGATGCACATCTGTGTCTCCAGTGACCATGGGATTGGTGCTCTTTGAGGCCTCTCTTCAAAAGATTGACCTGAGGACACTGAAGAGATACTGGCCAACCCCTTTGGAAAAGAGAGGGACTTCCTCAAAACGAAATGATCTCTGGAGCTCAAAGTGAACCGTTGACTTACTGGAGTGCTCTCAGAGACTGTACTGTCTGATCAGATAGACTTCTCATGCTCAGGAGTCAATGAAGCCATTGTGAAGTCTCAAGGAGGAATGTTTTCAGATGATCCTGGATTTTTGGGTCTTTTTAGAAAAGGAACAGCATATAGAGCACTTGTGTGGTATATGCACATCCTCCAAACAAAAAACGCTCTTACACTGTCTATTGTTGATAGAAATGGCTTCCTCACAAGAGGGACAGGTCTTGAATCCCAGGGTCTTGGACTTCACCGTGTCTAAGGGTCTGGTGCCAAGAGCACCTGGACTTGACTATAAAGCTAAAAGTTTTGTTTTTTTATATATATAGCTAATGAGCTAGAAAGCATGAAACTAACTACATAACAAACTACAGCTAACGAACTATGAGAATTAAGTAGCACATCGGGCAAAGATACCGCAGATGTTCAGTCTCACAACCACAAATGGAAAGAAGGAACTGGAGAGCAGTTCTGCCCACCCCATCCTTTATGCCTAAGCTATGGGGCACCCGAGGGCACCAATCTTCAAAGATGGTGGCCTCATGCTGTGCACCATAAATGCAGTACATGTGAACAATCACTTGAAGAATTGGACGTGTTTTTTATAAAAATAATTTTGAAGATGACACATATCCCCCAAGCATAGCTTCCTAAAATCTGCAAAGTGTAAAGAGCACAATACATTATAAAATCCAATATGGATCTTGCTATGCAAAACTCATTTTCCAGGGCATGTCTTAGATTATGTGGAACGATACTAATGAAAGGCAATTGATCAGATGGATGGATGGATCTGACAACTAGAAAATAAATCTTCTTGGAAACTGAGGAAATTTGCTGTGGTAAACATAGAGAAATAAAAAAATGTAGAACCCTATGAGACATTTTTAGAGTAGCTTTTAAAAAGAACCATAGTTTAAGGTTTCCCTTCATAAATGTAAAAAAGATCATTTTAATTATATAATCTTTTAATGACATCATAGCAACTAAGCAGTATTTGGTTTCATGATATTGCTGATTAATATATGTGTGGAATAATACCATACATACTATATGCTATTTAACATATTTTCATTTATAAACCCTAAATGTGCGTGCAATAAAAATGATCAAGTCACTTACTTCTGAGAGATGTGAGTTCCTTGCTTCAACTATTGCATACAATGATGAACGTATTATATTAACCAGGGTTTCAAAATATGGCAGGCAGTCTGTTTGATATTTAACACTTCTGACCTTAATCATATGAATGCGTCTTTCAATAGTCATACATATAATCTCATTTACATCATCTGTATACTTATTTAAGATTCCTCTGAAATCATGTGACGATAATTCCCTTTGTAGTGCTAAGATTTCCATATTCATAGTTTTAGCTTCATTCACCATGGCACAGTATCGCAAAAAGTTTCTGCTATAAGATTCAACTTGTTCCATTGAACTACTAAGAATAGACAGAAGAGTCAAAATCTGTAGATTTAATATTGTAAGAAATAGTTACAAATTTCATTTTGACAAAGGGTTGGTCTAATTAAATTTTCTCTGTTAACAGCAATTTAGATATCTACTGACCAGTTTTGTAAATTAATAATTTTTCAAAACAGTAATTGTCAAAATAGATAAGTTGAACTTCTGTAAAAAAAAAAAAAACCCAGGACCTATACTTTCTTACATAAATTCAGATTGGTATATTCATATTTAGTTTACAACTAGCTCCAAAGAGTCCTTCCTAAAGATTCACTTCTAATATGATGCCAACAGAAAGCAAGTTGATAACATTTTTTCAAATATTGCCACCGCTGGGTTTCCCAGCGCATCCTGTGTTTGTGTCTATTAGAATGTTAACTCTTCAGGGCAGGGAGAGTGTTATTTTCTGTTGTGTACAGTGCCAAACACAGGGTTAGCATTCAACATATAACAGATTATTTTAAAATATACGTTTACAATCAAATGTTATGTTACTTAGATACATTTTTTAACTTTGCACCACACACTTTGTTTTGGTAGCATGGATCTGTTCCTAGAAGTAGCTCCCAATTGGGCCATGGAACTGGATACTCTTTTTCCCACAATTCTGTACAACTTTCAGGTGACTGCATTATTTTATGTAAAGACTGAGTGATGAAGACTGACAGATGAGTATCACGAGAAAATGGAATAACCTGACCTAAAAAGAGATAATTAAAACAAGTTAATTTTCTGAGACTCTTCTCAGAACTCAAATTTACAATAATACATAAACAAAGATCATAAACAGCATGCATATTCCACTCTCCAATTACACTAATATTGTACTTCCCCATATAATCTACCGCAATATGATACATAATGAAGAAATCACCACACTGAACTGTATATATTGAATTAAAAATTAAGATTTCTATAGCGTCCTTATTGTCTATGTAGTTTATAATTTACCATTATTTCACGGCAATCTGTGTCTCATTTCACATACAAAATCTTGGAGCTCTAAAATCCTTTTTTTTCTATTAACAAATTATATTTAAGTATGAATAATTCCAAGCCTCCAAAGATAAATTTGTTACTTACAAAAGAGAACAATATTGATTTGGTGCACCACATATTATGCACAGGAGGTGAAATAACAGAGCATAAGGAAAATATATTGCAGAATTTCACACAACAGTGATGCAAAGTATTTTAAAAGCTGTTAAGATATTCTAGTGATGGAAAATATTTCTGTCTAAACTCAAGGGGCCAAATCCTGAGGCCATTGCAGTTGTGCCAGCGTAACTGAGGCCAGGATGTATTTACTGTGACCCCAGTTTTAACCCCTGGAGTTAAGATTAATGTGCATACACATAAGTGCCTCCTGTGACACTTTTCAGAGTGGTAGCCATGTTAGTCTGTATCACCAAAAACAGCGAGGAGTCCTTGTGGCACCTTAGAGACTAACAAATTTATGTGGGCATAAGCTTTCATGGGCTAAAACCATCAGATGAAGATGCATCTGATGAAGTGGGTTTTAGCCCATGAAAACTTATGCCCAAATACATTTGTCAGTCTCTAAGGTGCCACAAGGACTCCTTGATGTTTTTCCTGTGACACAGTCACTGAAAGCTAGTTTGTGCCAGTGGTAGGGACAAGTGCTATTAACATGGCAAGTATAACTGCACATATATATTTACTAATTTTTGGTGTCAGGATAAATAAAAAGAAGAAACGCAACAGGGCCAAAGTCACCACTGGTATAAGTAGCAGCAACTCTTGTGAAGTTAATAGCCCCCACTGTGCCACAGATTAATTTGGCCTTTGGTATCTAAATATGCTATAATATTCAATATATGCAAGTATAAATGTAATAATTATTTCAACAAACAGAGGTAAGGGTTCCCCACCTTTTTGGAACAACAGACATACAGGAACATATACATCCATCTATGTTAGACATGAAGAATGCAAGATTGTTAATATATATGTAACTAAATTTGCAAATCAGCCACTACTTGCTATAGCTAAATTCAGCACTTTTCATCTTCATAGTGCTGTACAACCATATACAAACCAATCCTCACAACACCCTTTCAGGTAGGTAGTGAAACTTGGTTTAGGTGAACACTCAAATGACCACCAAAAATTGGTTAACAGAAATAGTTTTCGAATGAAAGCAGAAAAGAATTTCACAAAATTGTACAGTCAAGATATTTGATTCAATCCCTACTGCCAGAACCTATTGTGCTGGGCCTCATTAGCAGGAAGCCTGTCCAGTGGAAAATCACAAAGACCATAATTTGCCCACAAGTCCCACTCAAATGGGACAGCTGAAGCCAGTTGGTAGAGCCTAGGAAGTGGGCAAGAATGACCAAAGAGGGCAAACCTAGTAAGAAATTAAAGCTGCTCTCCCCTTGAGGAACTACTATCGGAAGATAGTGTAAACATTGCCACTGTTCCTGTAGATCACTGTCTTGGTGCAACTGCTCCTACAGGATCAGATGGATGCAAACTGCATCCCTATCCCATTGTATTTATAGGGTGAACCAAGCCTAATAGGAACACTGAGGTCAGAAGGGAGGGATAGCTCAGTGGTTTGAGCATTGGCCTGCTAAACCCAGGGTTGTGAGGGGGCCAGTTCGGAATTTGGGGCAAAAAAATCTGTCTGGGGATTGGTCCTGCTTTGAGCAGGGGGTTGGACTAGATGACCTCCTGAGGTTCCTTCCAACCCTGTGATTCTATGGGTACGTCTATACTTACCCGCTGGTTCGGCGGCAAGCAATCGATCTTCTGGGATCGATTTATCGCGTCTTGTCTAGACGTGATAAATCGATCCCGGACGAGCTCGCTGTCGACACCGGTAATCCTGCTCTGCGAGAGTAGGCAGAGTCGACGGGGGAGCCTGCCTGCCGCGTGTGGACCTGCGGTAAGTACCTTTAAGTTCGAACTAAGATACTTGGACTTCAGCTACGTTATTCAGGTAGCTGAAGTTGCGTATCTTAGTTTGAACTGGGGGCTTAGTGTGGACCAGCCCTATGATGTGTTAACATAAGAAGCTGCCCCATACAGATTTCATATGCTATTTTATATAATGGCAAATTGAGACAAAGAGAGGTTAAGTGATTAGCCAAAGCCACACAGCTGGTTAGTGGCAAAGACAATATTAGAACTCAGGAGTTCATAGCTTTCACTACAGCATGCTACCACAGTGCCCTAAAGAACGATACTGACATTAACTAGTCCAGGATTATCCCCAGATTTTGTGGGCATAGGATGCATCCAATTCTGACCTCACCTGTGATTGGGCCTCCAAGTCTCTGCAAACTGACAACAGACCCTGCCTACCAGGCAAGCAAAAACTGCTACTGGTACAAGCCAGCCAATATACAAGAGCAACAACAGAATAAGGATGAAACCAATAGGAAGACCTCACTGCCATGGACTCCTTGGTAGATTGTGATGCTGGAACCAATCTATCTTAAAGTAACTGTACTTTGAGATGTGTGTTCTATGGGTGCTGCACGTCAGGTGCACAGACACCTTTAATTGAAGATTTTTTGCTAGCAGTGTAGACATGGTACACACGTGCTCTAGCTGTCCTTGTGCCCTGTACTAAGGGTATACAGGGCAGCATGGGATCAACTGCCACTCCACTTCATTTGCTACTGTGGATTCTTCAAATATTAAGGACTCTGAAGCAGAGGGGAAAGATGGTGGGTAGTGGAGCACCAACAGGGACACATCTAAAAGAATTCCAATTACCATACATGGCAAGAAACCTTCCTTGCTTTGTTGAGTGACAGTCCCAAATGGGTGTTCCACTTCAGGTGACTCCCAAGTAGCAATCCTCTTATGAGGATGGGAGCTTCAGAATCTTTTTTTTTTTTTTTTACTTACAGCAGATTGAAGCATAGCCAAAACAAGAGAAGCATCAACTCAAGAAGTTTGAACAAGGGCATAATGTCTAGTAAACACTGGATAGAGCCCAACATAGTTGTTTTACAAATATCAAGTATAAGGACATTCGCTAACTGGGCCATGTAGAATGAGCCCTTGTAGAATGAACTTAATATTTGTAGGTGGCTTTATTTTCAAGGTTTCGTAACAGCTTTATATACATGCCACAATCAGATAAGATAAACTTTGATATGTAACTGGGCAGCCTTTCAGTCCTTCTCCAAACAAGACAAAGTTTTAGAGAAGCTCAGAAAGGTTTAGTTCTTTGTTGGTAAAAAGCGAGAGCTGTCCACATATAATGCATTCAATCTGGCCTCCCCAGAATTCCCAGAAGATTTAGGATAGAACTCCAGCAAATGAATTTCCTGATTAATATGCACATTTGGGAGCACTGTGGGAATAAACCAAGAGCGAAGATGAAGTGTTACCTTGTCCCCATGAAACACAACATAAGGCTGAGGGGGGGGCTTTGGGGGGAGGTGTCTGCTACAAGAGCTCCCAACTCCCCAACCCTCCGGGCTGAAATTATAACCACTAGGAAAGACACTAATTGATAAGTGTACAAGGACCAATTGACTAAACATTTGAATGGAAGTCTCATTAAAGCTGACAGAACCAAATTAAGGTCTTCAATCTGTGGCAGTCATCTAACAGGCAGGTAATGCTTTACTAGCTTTTTGAGAAATCTAACTATCTTAGGGTGAGTGAAAACGTAACACTCCAACAGAAAATGAAAGGCACTGATGGCCTCTAACTGAACTATTATCTAACTCAACAAAATCCCACATCCTTCTAATATCAGTCAATAACTAACATCTGAGGTAATGGAGAAACTCTGGGAGACTGATCTCTTTCCTCACCTCAAACTCGGCATTTAGTCCATTTACCAATACAAGTTTTTCAAGTTGACCACTTCCTGCTGTTCAACAAAATATTATGAAGATTCTTTAAATATTTCTCCTCAAAGTTTGAGACTCATCTAACAACTACACCATCAGGTGCAAGAACACCAGACTGGGATGGGAAAATCTGTTCTTAGTTCTGGTGTAGCAGGTTGGACCTCAGGGGAGCTAATCATTGGAGTGGTTGAGAGATGGACTAAATCTGGGAACCAGCTTTGTTAGGACAATTTTGGAACTTTGACTTAACTTGCTTTGTATTTTTTAGCACCTTCTGAATTAAGGGAATAGCAGAAAGGCATAAAACAGTATTTTCAAAACACAGAATCTGAAACATGTCCTCTGATGATCAGTGACCTTGGACTTTTGTTGACCTGGGTGGTGAAGAGGTCTATCTCTGGGAAACTCCACTCATGGAATATTGATTGAAGCACTTTTCCATTAGTTTTCCATTTGCTGTCTACTGAGAAATGTCTGCTTAATTTGTCCATCACTGTGTTCTGTAGACCTGGTAAGTGCACCTCTGTTATGCTGGTGATATCTCCACATGCATCACTTCTTTGCATAAGCAAAATGATCATGCACCCCCTTGTTAAATGTATATAGCACATAATGGTAGGAGGTGTAAGCATGCATTTCTTAGTGCTCTCAGTTGATATGTTGGGTAGATTTTTGAGCACTCCAGCTGCCCTGCACCACCACATGTTCATCCAGATGTGTCCCCCATGCAATTAGTGATGTGTAAGACATTATCATCTGTCATAACTATAAAGGGAAGGGTAACAGCCCTCCTGTGTACAATACTATAAAATCCCTCCTGGACAGAGACTCCAAAATCCTTTTACCTGTAAAGGGTTAAGAAGCTCAGGTAACCTGGCTGACATCTGACCCAAAGGACCAATAAGGGGACAAGATACTTTCAAATCTTGGTGGGGGGAAGGCTTTTGTTTGTGCTCTTTGTTTTGGGGGTTGTTCGCTCTTGGGACTGAGAGGGACCAGACATCAATCCAGGCTCTCCAAATCTTTGTGAACAAGTCTCTCATATTTCAAATTTGTAAGTAAACAGCCAGGCAAGGTGTGTTAGTTTTTATCTTTGTTTTCTCAACTTGTAAATGTACCTTTTTGCTAGAGTGTTTATCTCTGTTTGCTGTAACTTTGAGGGGATTCCTCTGGGCTCTTCAAGTTTGATTGCCCTGTAAAGTTAGTTTCCATCCTGATTTTACAGAGATGATTTTTACCTTTTTCTTTAATTAAAAGCCTTCTTTTTAAGAACCTGATTGATTTTTCCTTGTTTATAGATCCAAGGGGGTTGGATCTTGAGCCACCAGGAGTTGGTGGGAGGTAGGAGGGAGGATGGTTAATTTCTCCTTGTTTTAAGATCCAAGGGGTTTGGATCTGCGTGGCAAGGAAAAGACGGCATGGAAAGCCTTCCAGTTAGTGGCAATAAATTTTCTCAGAAACAACAAGGCAGACAACTGCAGGTTGTTGGTGGAAAACCTCCTCAAGGCATACAAAAGCCTTGGTTGCAACATGTCACTAAAGATACATTTTTTGCACTCTCATCTAGATTTTTTTTCCACCGAACTGCGGAGCAGTGAGCGACGAGCACGGCGAGCGATTTCACCAGGACATTGCAACAATGGAGAAACGCTATCAGGGCAAATGGAGCCCATCAATGCTTGCAAACTATTGCTGGACAGTGACAAGAGATGCTCCATTTAATGAATACAAGAGACAAGCCAAGAAGCGCCGAGTAGACACTGAATAGGACTAAACTATGTACAGAATAGTTTTTTGCCTTTTGTTTCATAATAAATTTGATTTATATAACCCTTTTGCTGATTTTTAAAGTGTTACATAAACAGGACAGGTGAAATATTATCATGTAAAGCAACCATAAACACATGAGAAGACCTAGGTTTACAATTTATGATTAAAACTCTACTATCTACACTATATATATATATATATATATATATATATATAG